ATTTTATCCTGCCCTAATTGTTTTAAGCATAGTATCCTGCATTTACTGCAGTAACAGTCAAGTTTCAGGCAGGCTTAACACTTCTAACTGAACGGTTTGGGAAAGCATAATAAATTAGTCACATGGTGACCCTGGCCCATTTCAGGCCATTGATATGTTTTTGATTCAGTCAGAAAAATGGATTCCACAAGGTCTTGACAAAGAAATGTTGTAGCTTTTCAGCTGTGATGTCCTAGTATTCTCAAAGTCAGTCAAATGGAAACGAGTTACTGTAATAGATTAACTGCAAATCAGCCTCGGTTCTGGAGACAGGCTTTCTTACCTAAAGAACCAGCCCCCTGCAACACAGATAGTGTCAACAGGTTTGCCAGGTCTAGGCTGTAATATAACCCTGGATTGCAATTAAAATATTCTCACTGTTTTTTGTTTTGTTTTTGGTTTTAATCTTAACAAGCGCACTTACTTTAGAAGAGTCTCCAGCCACCGTTTGTGAGACTGATTTGATTACTGCAGACAATGTTGAGACAGGTTTATTTATATATTATATAGAAATATCTGTACTTTATGTACAGTATGAATTTGTATTTTCTTTTCTTTTTCCACTTCCCACAAAGGGGTTTTCATCAAGTCAGACTGTGATTTTCACCTCCCATGATTATAAGAGACAATAAATTGACCCATGGCTATACGAATTGCTCTGCAATTTAATATCCCAGTGGGAATCCAAAATTAAAATGGAGGGAAAATGAAAAAGGAGATATCTTGACTCTGCTACTATAATTTCTCATTCCTGTTCTTAATTAACTCTTACATCCAGCACAGCAATTCCATGATGATCTTGTTTCTTTAATCCTTAGTTTTTGATTGTTCTAATAGCAACTGCATACAATAACAGTTTAATTTCAGAGTAATACAAAGTATTCTATCGGGTCGTTAGCAGAAAACACAGCAAATAAAAGCATTCTCCACTGCAAATAAATGAGCAGATATCATAATTCACCCACTGTTTAATTCTGACAGGCTGTATGGGGGTGCTCATCAGGGGAGCCAAAGATATTAGGAGATAAAAGAATGACAATGATATCATCAATGGGCAAGGGAATAATACATTTAAAATTAAAAGAGTGCCGTTTAATTAAATGCTTGAAAGGATGGCTTTTATAACCATGTTTCAAATTCCTGTAAGTGCTATCATCTCTTAGAGTCAGTAACCATATGTGATTATAACTGATGGGCCAGGGAATGGGTTTGAACCAGACTGAAAATTCAATTAAGAAACTAAATAAGAGATCACAGTTGTTTTTTATACATCTCATCATGTTACCCTTTACATCTATTATAATAACCTCCAACTGGCACAGATGTGTGCATATCTCCGAGATTAACAGCTATACAGTACCTGTGAATATAAAACTGAGAGTGCCTAGGTGGAATTATGGACATCGATGGCCAGTATTGTTGATTTAGCAGTTACCTTGGTTATCTGTAGGAAACTGAATCGTTTCCTTTTGAAAGCGAAACTGTTTCCCCAGAGAGGCACATTGGAAATTGGTTTCATTATTATGTCCATTGGAAGAAATAGTGCTTACTTTATTGAGTAAGATAAAAAATGAAATAAAAAATCTTATAAGGTTTTGGTGAATTTCCAATACAGTGTACTGAAACAACTCAATTTATTGTCCTTGGCAATACTGGTACTGTGTACTGTATAAAAGGGAAGGACTGAATACATCCTCTTTTTGGAATGATTAGCTTGAGAAGAATTATAAATTGTTGTAGAAAAAGATACTTAAACATTTGGCACTTCCTCAGTGAGCAGTGAATAGTGTCTTAAAGCAGTGAGGCATAGCATATCAGTTTTTGAATTGCTGGCTAGTCCAGATTTTGTCACAGATGAGCGGGTCTTTCCTTCGGTTGAGTCACATTAGTGCATGTGTTAACCACTTTGCAGGCAAAGAAGAGTTCTCCAGCTTTTCTTTGCAGGCTCAGTGACACCTGATCTTTGGAAGAAGCTCGTTGTGATGTTCTTATTTCAGGGCTGTCATAGTTTTCTGAACTGAAGCAGGAGGCTCCATCTTCATCCTCGGGTGCTCTAGACTAAAAAGTATTCAGTCATAAAAATATGATAAATAGCAAGCTAGTAATCTAAGTGTATCTAAACGTACAGTACAATTAATATATTTTTGTAGTTTTTGTTTTATTCTTTATAAAGCCTTAGACAATCACATCATAATTCTACCTACCTCCTGCGTATGACATGAATTATTTTGATTCATATTCTTTTCATTCAGATCCTTTGATGATAAATTCTGAGCTATGCCTACATAATATGTAGAATGTCTGTATTTATTAGAGTTGTCTGTGAGTTACAAAGTCAGAATTGCACTAGTAATGGATTCCAGGCTGTTTATTATACTGTAGCTAATGATATGGAGATTGTAGCAGCAGTACAATATCTGCAGAGCTCCATGTGATGGGGGAGAAATTACAGTATCCGTTCACTCCGCAGACAGATGTTGTACAGCAGCAAAACAAAATCAGAAAATTGTGTTTTTTCAGAAAATTAACACATTCACACAGCTTTCTAAATATTAGTCTAGAGCAAATATAAAAGCTTGGCTTTTTAGACAGTAAATTGTGATCCTGACTGTGGTCGTTAACTGTTCCAGGTATAGGTGTTCCTAACAAGTTCATTTAAATTACAATAACTTCTTGAAGAGTTTTAATTTTTTACTTCTGTTCAATGCCTCTCACTGATAGTTATTGATTGCAAATGGACAATGGCAACTGCCCAGGTTTAAATCCAGAAAACTGAAAAGGCTGTTAAGATGTGAAGTATGATGGTTTATGTCTTGTGTGCAGTCAGCACAAATCATCTCACCTACGCATCTTTAAAGATTTCAAAATATATTTCTGGGAAACTGAAGTCAGTTAAGATGGAGGCCTAAATTCTATTATTGTCCCAACTTTCATTCTGTTAGACATCTAGTTTTTTTTTTTTTTGTTTTATGTGAGACCCCGGGTCTCTGTGACATCTCTGTTTCTTAAAATTTGAAATGGAGCATCACTGTAAGTGCTCGGTCTGTCTTAATTTAATATTTGCCCAATATTGTTAACACATTAGAGACACGAATTAATGCTCGTGTCTTATAACTTTCAAAGGCAGTGGACCATTAGTAATTTAAAAGAATGCTCATGGACTGTTTTACTAAGATGTAACATTGCATAGAGATATAATGGTTTTTGGTATCAACATACTGTATTTGCATTATAAAAACTATTCACAGTTTATGATGGTACTAGGGAGATCCTTTTTAATTTTTTGTAACTATTGGAGATTTAATTTTTCTTTCACTCTTAAAAAATGAAATAAATTCATCAATCTCTGAATACGGTGAAATTGGGTGAGCAGCTGCAGACTGTCTAGAATGAATGAATTCTGGGTGGTGGGGGCTTTGTGTGATGTGAAATATCCATAGCGACTCCCTTTCAGGTCTTTTTAGAACCATGGTCAAAACTAGCCAGGTTAGATCAGCTTCAAAAAGCATGTACTTCTAAACACCACTCCTGTAAAGAGAATTTGGTTTTAGCTTTAGGTTTAAGAAAATGTACACTACGTGCTCGTGACACTTGCTACTTGTAGTTTGATCATGAATAATCAAGGAATGGTGCTACGTAGATTCCAATATTTGACTAGGCATCTTTGCTTCCACCCTCTGATACAGTTGCACAAGTGCAGTGAGTGTACAGTACTTTTGAATTGGAATTGAGCTTTATGAATGAAATATATCTTCTAGCTGGGAAAAAAGCAGTTTAACCTGAGATGTGAAGTACAAAAGGATATAGACATTTTGGATATTAAACTTGCTTTCACATAATTTAAATAGAATTTTAGAGATTTTCCCAGACAAAAGCATATTCCTTTTGTGCAGACAGTTGCTGTGTCTCCGTTTTCCAGTTCAGGTGCCTCAGAGGCATCGGATTGTACCTTGCATTGGGACTTGCATTCGATCCATGACCTATCTTTCACAGTCATCCATCTACACAACTGCCAGCAAAAATCAATTTCTATTTCTAATCTGAAAAAGCCCATGCTCGCTTGACTTCAAAGCTTGCACTTCACAGGGATCTTCACTAGAAGGAGCTGTCAACAGATTTTGCTGATGAACTATATACCAGGACCACATCATTCACATTCTGCACAGCTTTATTGTACTTACAACAAGCAGTTAATTGTGTTGGTTTCATAATTACTTTACATTAATTCATTTTGCTAGTGCAAATGTTAATTAATTTTGTTTCTTAAGGACATGTCTTTCGTGCATTCCAGAATGCTGTGCAAGACAAAACAAAACAGTATATACTTTGAGGGCATTAAATATAAAAAGGTAATTTTAAAAGAATCATTGAAAAAGAATACTGGTACTAGAAAAAGTGATTTGAGGTCCATCATGCTATTATTGTATGTTTCATCTTCAGTGAATTAGTCACTGATACGGAACAAATGTGCACTGATGCAGCTGTAAATGACATTCTTTGGCAGTGTCTACAAAACAAAGTAACAGAGGAATTAGGAAAAAAAAGACATTCTGAATGCACGAGAGTTTAACACAGGTTGCACAAGTTATAAATGAGTGATTGATATAAACCACATCTGGTCAATTAAGATAATCAGAAACATTAATCTAGACAGTTGCATCTTATAGTGTCGACAGGGAAACAACAACAATAGAGTCGATTATCCCTCTGAAGCTAACCAGTGTTTTTTAAAAAAAAACAATGGACAGGGCTTGAAGAGCAAGGGGCTACACAAGATAATCCACTCAAATAGAGAGAGCTGTCATAGCATTGAAGGCAGGCATCACCTCTTGTGCAACCAGGCCATTATTTTTGTATGGCAGGATCTCTGCAGTGTCTAGTGTAGGAGGAAATGTCGCCAAATGGGCACCTGAGTTTCTCTAATGAGAGCTGCATCTGTGTCTCCCCCCTCCCACCCACAGGCAATCCACCTGCCACTGGCACAGGCACACTGGTTATCACCCTGGAGGACGACAACGACAACCCCCCGTCCGTGTTCCCCGACGTGGCTCGGGTCTGCGAAGACTCCAAGGACCTGAACGTGGTCATCGTGGGCGGCAGGGACAAGGACATTAGCCCCAACGCTGCTCCCTTCAAGATCGAACTGGGCAAGCAGCCTGGGCTGGAAAAGACATGGAAAGTCACCAAAGTCAACAGTGAGTCATGCCCACTTTCCATTCTTTTAGTCCTCATCTGGCGCTGTTTGTAGCAGCTCTTGTTATTTCAGTCTGGTCCCTCCCACTGCCATGCAGTGCATGGTATATGTGTAGCGGAGCTAGTTCGGACACGGTGACATCATCGCCCTCCCTGTGCGTAGCAGGCGCCTCAGCCGCCTGGGCCGAGGGAGGTCTCCTTTAGCTCATGCGGCTGGTTCCCTGTTGCGTCACGCTGGAGACCTGGGTTCACGCCCCAGGTGGTGGAGGACAAGCGGAACCGCGACGGTCACTTATGCAATTAACAAATACGTCAAGCAAAATATCAATACGCCACATGTATCTGGGTGTGTCAGAGGTGTACTGTACATCCACTAATAATAATAGTTCCTTACACTTGCATGGCACTTTTCTGTACACTCCACTCAAAGCGCCTTACAAGATTCCCTAAGGACTTGGAATACTGGACTCCCCTCCACCACCACCAAGGTGTAGCCCCTCCCTGGAGGATGTGATGGCAGCTAAAGTGCACCAGTCGGCTCACCACACACCAGCTATCAGTGGGGAGGAGAACAGAGTAATGAAGCCAATTCATTCTCTGTCCACAAGCTAGAAATCTCTTTTCTGGGGCTAGAAAAGTTACCAAGGATTACAAATCATGTGGTTGGTCTTGCAAAGTGAAATGTAGTAAAGTGGGAAAGTTTCACTTGGTGAAATTGGTGTGAAATGTTGGAAAGTGTAATGTAACACAATATGGCAAGGCATAAAAACATGAACTAACACATGATTCAGGTCTACTGTGCAGCCATCATTCCTGTTTGACTGTATGTTGCTGGGCTCATACAGGAGATGCTTTAGAGAGGACTGGAGGCATATCGTCAGCACTGCTTGCAGAAGATTTTACACATCAAATATGAGGACAGGTGCTCTCTCCCAAGCAGGAACACGCATTAAAACTGTTATCATCCACCAGTAGCTCTGCTGGGTTGGTCATGTCCTCCAGGTGTCAGACTAAGGCTCCCAAAGAAGGTTCTCTTCTCCCAACTTAACCAAGGCAATTGCACCAAAGGAGGCCAGAAGAACCATTTGAAAGATGTGGTAAAGGCAAACATGAAGAAATGCAACACCGATATCCAGTCCCTGGGAGATGATGGCTTTTGTCTGAACCAGTTGGAGGAAGAATATTTTGCAAGGAGTCCAGCGCTTTGAGGACCAAAGATGTCAGAAGTAAGAAATAAAGCGAGAACACCAAAGAGAGCTCACCGTGTTCTTGCCCTCCACATTTTGTTTACTTTGTGAAATCGTTCCAGTAGTTCGTGTCTTGTACTTTGTAAGAATAGGGATATCTGTAGTGAGGGTCGCAGCAGCCTTGAAGGACACATACTGTACTGCAAAGGTGAGACAGCACACTGCATTGTTTCCCAGTCCATCTCAAGCCCACAGGCCCACACTCGTCGCAGGATCAGTAATATTTCATGATCATCATAGCTTGCAAGCTGCTTGCGCTGACCTGCACAACAAGAAATTAAGAGAATAATAGTAATGCATAGATCAGGACTGAATTTGACTTTTTAAAAATTATTTTAAACTTGATCTGGGATATCAGACTGCTGCCCCCCCCCGGAACTACATATTGGATCAAGAGGAATATATGAGCATTAAAATTAATTCCACAATTTACAGATTGATTTGATTAAAATGGTGGGTATAACAGTGGTTCAAATCCAGTCAGAAATGGATGCAATTTAAAAGAGCCTCCGTGTTTGTGTAGTCTTAACACTTCTAGAGCACATCTGTTCAGACTGCTTTACAATTCATATTGGGGACTCTTCAGAAAGGCATCTTTGCAGATTTGAAGGCATAAAGTTACACTCTTTAGGGCCCTCTCCTGGGAAAAGCAGAGATTTAGAGATTTAAGCATCTGAAATAAAGCATCTTTTAAGGGTTGTGGTTCAACAAAATAGTAGCTATTAGTTTGTCTGTCACTTCAATACACTGTATATTTTACAAGGACAGCTTTTGAATGTGCTTTTACAAGTACAGCTTCTAGTTGTAAACAGGGTGAATCTTCTACACAGCACGGTCAGACTCCCCTCATTCACCCTTTATAGAACATGATTCATAATCCGACCCACTTCATATGAAATTCTCATCCAGACAATTCTCGTAGGGCAAACTTCTTCTCTGTCTGACTTATGGAGTTTGTTTTTTACATTATATACTGAAAGGTCTTAAAAACATCCTATTAGTATTGGAACCAATAATACTGTGTGTGTTCCATCTTAATTCCCCACAGTATAATTTTTTACATATGCTTTAAAAGGATTTGTCCTAGCTGCTTTACTGGGTGCTATTAAAAAGCTGTTTTGTCCCTGTCTTATTAAGTGCCTTAAATTGCTTGTCCTGAATTGGGCTATATTAATTCCTGTTATCTTTATATGGTCTAATCCTATGCTTTTAAACTCATTCCAGTGCTCTTTGCTTGCATCATTTCCATGTAATAAGAGCATCATGGGACTGTTTAAAAAAAAATCATTTCTCTTCTGTCTTTAACATGAAATGAACCAGCTTTGCTGAAGTATTTTGGAACTGTAGGGCCATGGGGACAGGCAGTAAAACATTCTATTACCAGATTTCATCAGACTGTGACCAAACTCACACAACTCTGAAATGGACTTAGTGCCATACCCGGAGAGATCAACATGCACACTATAGTTTGCAATACCCGCTTTGCTAATCACACATCATGAGAATATGAAAGACAAAGGTATTATACAACAAATTGGAAAATTTGGAGAAAATCACCAAATGAAGATTTTCACAACAGCTATATTAATATGCTTTTGTTACGAAGTTTTGCAGCATAGTGCTGTGCATTCTAAAACTATTTGCACATGCAATATCTCTAGCTGGCCCTGCATCAGTTGCTGTGAATTTCTGTGATTTTCAAATATTTTTTCTACTCTACTGCAATCACATTGACTTTGTACTTTTGAGATGATGCAAGGGGATACGTAGAGTCAATAGTGAATCATTAATGATTTGTTTAATATCCGACTTGCACTACAGTACATCCATATTCACGTGCATAATGTATTACAATACACAGTTTCGGAAACATTGTAGAAACAGATTTATTTCTGAAACAAAATAAATAATGCACACGTTCTTAACAATGTCCTTTCCTTCTCTGTCTATTTCACAAGAAATGTCTTTGACTTTCTTAGGACAGAACCTATTATATCTGACCAGCTATGCAGCACAGAAAATAGTGTACTAATTGTTGTTTACATGTTCTGAAAATGGTTGGAGATGCCAGATTTTTTAATAAGGCACTAGCCGATTTTGCATTATAAAGTTTTTGGCTTTATTTCCAGAATACCTTTTGAAGTCACTTTAAGAACAGAAGGATAAATGTAGAACCTCTAACAACAGAGAAATGATCCCTATGGTCTTGTCATGGTGCTGAAGAAGTTTATAAGGTTAAAGATATGAAGTGGTGTCTCTGAAGTGATTGGTGCGTGCTTTTTCCGAAGACAAGTGGGTCCTTCATGACAGTCTCCCATGAGATGAAAACAAACACAGGCTACAGTACTCTCTTTTAATCGGTCTGCTCTTACCCCCAGGTACCCACTCTCAGGTCAGCCTCCTGCACAACCTGAAAAGAGCCAACTACAACTTGCCCCTCATCGTGACAGACTCCGGCAAGCCGCCCCTGTTCAACAGCACAGAAATCAAAGTGCAAGTGTGTACCTGCAAGAAGAACAAGATGGACTGCAGCAGCGCTGGCACCCTGCACATCAGTGTGGCCCTAGTCCTCTGCTTTTCCTTCTTCGCCTTGTTCTGTGAGTTTTCATTCCTTATTTTTACATGCTTGCAGGCAGACATTAAGATGTCAAAATCAGTCGTGTGAAAGTCATGTGGTTGCCGGAAGCCATCATTGCTCCAGTGGAAGACTTTTTTTCTGGGTCTTTCAGGCCAAAGTATCACACAACACGTGTTAAGTGATTTACTGAGGGACACTCACCTTTATCTGAGCTGGAAACCTCATAGCTTTTCTGTACCAGCACAAGTTATGGGAAAAGCCAGAAATAGTGAGGTCTCTAACTGATTGACATGATTTGCTTTTTTTACATTTAACTTTTAAACTTTGATGTTTGTGCTACATTGTCTCACAGATGGCATTACTGCAAACCCCCTGTATCCAGATTGTGAGTAGATTTTCAGAACCCATGAACCAAAGTGATATTCCTTGGGTGTCAGTTACAAAAGCCAAATTCCGACTTTGGTCAGGATGTGGATTTTAAATTAACCGTATTCTTAACTTTTTTTTTTTAGAAAATATACGTTGCTCTGTGCTCATACCATACCATACTGTAAATGACCAGACAACTTCATAAAATATGTTTTACTATCAATCAGATAAGTATTATGAGACATTTTTTATGACAAATATGCTTTTATAAATATCTACCTCTGCTACACAGGTGAAAACGTGTCTTTTTTGTAGTTTGTGAAGTTTCCCATTGAGGCTAAAGAACTGCCTTGGAAACACAGTTCAGATTCCCATCACTATTTTTAGATCTACTTCCGGTTTTGTGATTCCTTGAGAACAGTGTACTGTAGATCATCTTGTTCAATTTACCCTCATTTTAGTAAGGTCACTAGTTAACAAGTAATAAAATTGGATTACTAAGTGTTACCTTGCACTGTAGTTAATCATATGGTTCACAGTGGCTGTAGATCATGGTTACAGAATAGTAATTGAGAGATCATGGCATACACCCAATTCCTTGTCTCTGCATGTAGATAGTATTTATTGATGGATGTGGCAGAATTTGTAGAAATAGGCTAAATCACTTCATATCATTTGAGATGTTTCAGCACAAGAGATTACCCTGCTGAACCAAGAAAAAGAGACTATAAGCAGCAGCTGAAACACTGCACAAGCTTCTTTACTTAGCTCTTAACCATTTTTTAACAGCTGTTATGAAGTGATTTTAATTTGCTTTTTATCAGCTGTGGATGATATTTTATATATGTTGTGTGGTTTTTTGAGATAAGAGCACAGAACGCAGATATGTGATAAGGTGGCAATGTAAGGATTAAATTGTTTTATTAAGAGATTTTCATACATTTTCTTTAAAACCTTTAAATAATACTGATGGAACAGCTTAGGTGAGATTTTGTGTTCCTGGTTTTATTAGGTGCTGTTGGTTTTATGAGGCACTATTGTTCCAAAGACCTTGCAAAAACTGTTCATATAATAATAATTATCAAACTTTTATCCAAAGTGACCACACAAACCAGGGCCCAAAGTGACCCGCTGTACAAAAGCATGAACAGCTGCTACAGAGTATCTTTCTCAGAATAACACACAGTGAGTGAGCAGAATCATGCACTTGAAATGGGCACCTCCTAGTAATAAGTCTTTCACCTTAACCACCTACCTTAAATCAATCTATGTGTAAATGCAACTAATTCTCTGCTCTTTTTAAAGCAGCTTTGCAGATCAAAAGCTTGAATTACCAGACCTACGCTATACATCCTAAGGTCATGGTGGTAATGAATTGCAAAGACTGATTAAACGCAGAATGCAGGAGCAACTTACATCCCGTTTTTTTTTAATTCAAAAAGGAGGAGTGCTTTTAGCTACAAAGCCCAGATCCTTTATCCTCTTTGCAAGATCAACCAGGCTCATCACGGCAGGCAGGCAACGAGAGAGCCTGAGACAATCCTTTCTTGCAATCCTTTTCATCTCGCTGTGCTGAGAGTCAATCTTGAGCAGAAAAGGAGGGCCACAAAAGGTCTTTTTACCACAAGGAGCATTGCAGGTCTCAGAAGGAAATGAGTTCTGTCAGGGCAGAGCTGAGTGCTGCTGGAAAGGCTGCCGGCAGATCTGATTTAAATTCCCTTATTGGGAGGCTGACCTCAGGCCTGTAGATGGGAAAGTGGGGGAAAGGGGGAAGCACGCATGGCAGGGCTGAGCGGGCGCGCGCCCACGCTGCCACCGAGAAGCCAGAGGCGTGAGAGATGAGGGGCCGTTCCCTCTCGAAATGCACGTCCTTGTCTGTGTTTGTGAGGCTGTTCATCTCCGCCGTCTTCCATTCATATCAAGTGTATCAAGTGTTTCTCTTTCTTGCTTTGTTTATTTTTAAAGATAACAGGCAGCTGCTGTGGCAGTGTCACCCTCCTATCACTCGGGTTTTTGGTATATTTTGTATTTGTCAGACGGTGATGCCAACAGCTCTGTATCTGTTACTGGTTATAATAATTCACATTGTCTGCTATACAATAAACTACCACAGTATGTAACAGAATGCTAGTTTTCACTTGGCATTGAAACAGACACTTGTCAACAGTAAAAAGGGTAAATAATTACGTGCCAAGAATCTTAGAAAGATTTTGATGACTTTCTACTCATTTTGGTCGTCTGTAAGAATAGTGTCTCATCATTGTGCCTCAGTTTCTTGCATAAAGAAATCATAAAGAATTCAGTCCTCGGACTCAAAATCCTGAATCATGCATGTCCTGATTTTCATTGTCTTGGGGCTTTTTTCTGCTTCTGTTGTTGGAAAGTAGGAAGAGTGCTATTGTAAAATAATATCACCTCGTGTTGTTTTGTAGCTGTCCAAATCAAAGTAATTCTCAGTATGAAAAATGACACACTGCTTTGAAAATGAAAACCCATAGGAATATGGGGCGATTGTGCAAACTGTCCACAGCAGGTTCCCTCTATCTGGAAACTATCTCAAACCCGGGATCCAAGTTCTGTGAGGCAACAGTGGGAACAGCTGTGCCACTATGTCATAGGTTTAGAAATTGTGGTTTAGAGAGAAAAGTGCCACTTATTGGTTCAACAACGACAGTAATAATGTGTCACTGAGTAGTAAAATTACCCTCAAAATGCCTTAAAGGTGTGCTTACATTCCTGGTGAGACTGTCAGCCTTCCACTGCTCCACCAGCTGGTTTCGATACAGCAACGGTCAACACTGTACTCTCCATGACATCTCCTCATGCATTATCTTCCTTCGGGTCTGTAAATCTGCAACCAGCGGCAAAACTCCACTGGTCTCTCTATTGCCACTTCATAAATTACCTGGTCCACAGAAGAAGTCCTCTGAGTGCCAGTGTTACTCCTAAACGGCTTCATTTATTAATGATCTTCATTCAAGATTGTTGTATTGCAGACAAAGTGCGACAGTCAGTGCCGATATGTGGGATTATTTTTTTTTGTAATTTCTCGCATGGTCCCATGTGGTAAATCTAAACTTCAGAATACATTTCCTGAAACACATTTCCTTGCTGGGTTTTGTAGTTCCCCTTGCGCATAATTTTGTCAGTTGTATCTAAACTCAAATAGTGCGCACCTGGCATTTCCAAAAATACACTTGACTACTATTCAGAATTTTGTTATCCCAAGGAAAATTTCTGCTCAATCCATAAACGCACTTTATGAAATGTAAACCTTATGTACTGTACGTGCTCAATGGATTATTACTGTAAATATGAGATTGCTGTTTCAATTGTGTGTTTGTTTTCCGTGACAGACTAAAATAGAAGTTTGAAGATTATACTATACAAGAATAAAAAATTACTCACTGTCTGTAGCTGAACTCCATGATACGTATTACACTGTATTGTAATCTAAACCACACAGCACTTCACTTGGATGTAAAGGAGCATCACCAGAACAAGATGTTTGTGAAATCTGAGGCACTGTTATGTTTCATTGCTTGTAAAGTATAGTCTGACTTCTTTAATGCAGAACACACTGCTGAAAATGAAAAGCAAACCCAACATAGATGATTGTTAAATGTTTGCTATTAGTAACATAATGATCTGCGAAGTACTTCTAAGTCATTTTCTTTTATGAAAAGTAAAGCAAACAGATTTTATTCACAAGTCTTTAGTCTTTGTAATATGTCTTTTATCCTGTTAGAATAGTTCAACCTGATTTATTCAAGGTCTGTTAATATTTAGTCACACTGTAGTGACACTTTGAATGCCAGCTAAAGTTTGTACACCAGATGAAGCACAGGGTTAATTAGAGACTTAATGCTGGACTGAGTTCATCTGTTTTGACTTTTAAGAGGAATTGATTTATTCATTCTGAGGTAAATTGCAAACCTGTCTTCCACTCAGCAAGCATAGTGAGAGACAGAAAGAAGCAACTGTAAAAAAGAAACCCAGTACCACCTTGAGCCAGTCCATACTCCCATTAAAAATGATAATTCCCTGCAATAAAACTATTTCAGCCTCTGAATTTGATGACTTAACAGAGAAGTGAAAGGTTACAAAAACATTTTTACAACTTTTCTTCAAAACTCCAGATCTGCTTATTAGAATAACACAGAAATTAAGGCAATGTGTCATAAAATTATAACTGAATCTAACCAAATACATTATATTAAGCTGTAGAGGTGTACTATATATCTTGTATTATTTTATATGCATCTTCACAGTTTGTGCTCTTGAGTATGACTCTGAGAGATTACAACAGAGCAAGGTTTTCCACATACTGTGGTACAAACAGTAAGGGCATTAGAATTTCAAGGATTTTAGTAAAGATATATAACAGTATACATCTCTGTCTTACTCACCACAGTACAGCTGGGGTTTTTTGCTTTAGTTGTATCAATTCATGTGAATGCCCACTGCCATTTTTATAGACCATAGTTGGAAAGAGAAAAACACAGCTGCATACATTTCAAGCCAATTACGAGTCTGAAGGTATCAGTTACAGTGTAATTAGATAATCACATGTACTGGTACATATTACAGTTTCCCATAGAGATGAAAAACTCCCACACATACACATAACGGTTTAATGCATTTTTTTTA